GGCTGCAGGCAGTGGTACTGAGCCCCCCGGAGCTGCTGCCTGCAGCTGAGTGCAGCAGAGCACCTGCCTGTGCCCTGCCCCAGGGTGGGCAGCAGCTCAGCAGAGATTTGAGGCGAGGGAAGAGGGGTGCCAGTCCCTGTCCTGCCACCCCAGCCGCTGTGGGACCCCTTCACCGATGCCCACCGACCCGGACTGATGTGCTCAAGCATGGCCTGACCCGCTGCTGCAGGCAGTGAGCTCTACAGAAAGACTTTTTAACCATTTAGGCAGCAGCAGCAGCAGCAGTGACGTCGTTTATGTCCCAAGGAAGCTAGAAATAGCAGCCATGGCAAGCAAGACAATGGATTTATCCCCTCTCTTTAGTTCATGCAAAGGGTGTTGCACATGATATGAGCAGATGGAGGAGGCACGGTGCAGTGCAGAAACATTGCCCATGTCTGCATGCAAACCTAATTTTTAAATCCACCCCTGAATGTCATCCCTGACCAGCAGGGCTGGTGCAGAAAGCTCTGATCTGAGGGCTGGGACTTTTCCCCACCATCACAAACAGGCTTTGTTGTAAGGACCCATGCCCGTGCTCCTGACAAGCCTGAGAGACGAGCACAAAAGACTGGCAGGCACCCAGCCCCTCACCCCAGGGCTGGGGAAAGGGGGCACAGCACAGTAGAAGGGACAGTAATGGTGAGATTCAGGCTATCCCTAACCCCCGCCTCCTTTCCCAGATGCCAGGACCCACGGCAGGGCACAGGGAGAGCGTAGAGCCCCAGGGACATTCCATGACTCAGTTTCCCCCCTGTAAACCAAGACCAGTGGCCTCATTCGGTGCTGCTCTCCAGCTCGCGCTGGGGGGAGTCACTGACACAGACATGCTGGAAGGTGCAATCCTAATTCTGTGTTATCATTTCCTCTGTTGTTTTTATAGGACTGGAGGTGGCAGGGAGGACGGGTGGCTGCAGGGATGGCTCACAGGCCGAGGGAGCAGAGCGAGGAGTGTTTCGAGCTGGCACGAGCAGCTCACCACTGCTTGTCCCCAATGTGTCAGCCTGGCTGAGGGCAAAGCCCGTGCCCGAGCGGGGCAGGACAGCCATTCCCTCCCTGCTGCTCCCCCTTGTTTTGCCTGACACTGATGAACTCTCTTCCATCACTTTTTAATTACTTCCCACGTACAAGCGCTGCGAGCTTCAGTGGCTCCAAGGCTAATTACATCGGGCAGGTGCTGGAGTAAGGCAGTGCAGCTTCCTCAGCTGCCTCACCGTGACGTGGATAATTGGTTAACATTTAAGTGATTTGGATTTAATTTGCTGCTCCTGTAATGGAGATGGGCACCTACACCTTGATGGAGGAGGAGTGGGGCTGAGCTTCTCAGCCACAGGATGCAGAAATGACCCTCTGGGGGTTCCTTTTGCTGTGATTGAGCTGGTAGCTCTGGAGACCAGACCTGCTCAGGGATGCTGGTTTGGAAGAAGCTGGGCTGGGGAACCGGGTTCAGGAGGCCAGCAGGACCCTCTGCTTCCTTCCCTCGAACGCTTTGGAGCCAGCCCCTCCCTCGCTGCAGGGGAAATCTGCCTCTGGTGAGAAGCGGGAGCAAAGCCTGGACATCAGGTGTGTTCCTGGGAAAGGCTGCCAGTAAACCCACCAGGTGCTGGGGGCTGCAATGGTCCTGTCTCAGCTTGCTGCACCCCTCACAGCATCCCTGAGAGAGCTGTGACTCCCCTGGCTGCCCCCATGCCGGCCGGGCCGTGCTGAGTTGTGATCGGGCGAGCAGCCAGCCCTCTGAATGCTTAGTTAAATTATATTTATTTTTAAAATTCTTGAATCTTCTTGGCAGGAAATAGAATTTCCCTAAAGAGATCTTTCTAGTGGGTGAGCGAGGCTGGCAGCCCGAATCAAGGATCCCTCCTGTCTTCCCAACAGACTCTTCAGGGGCTGACATTGGCGCAGTCTTTGCTTAAAGTGAGAACTCATGTGTGTTCCCCAGCCCCTGGCAAGAACTCTCACATATGGTCCCTCTCGCAGCGACTGACAGTCCATGACCGTGTCTGTCTGTCCCTGCTGGGGACTCCAGAGTGGACGGGCTCTGCTGAGGGTGGTGCCTATTAGAAACATCCTGGAAATGTCTTTGCTGTGGTTCAGATCCAGCTTGGGAAGGAAAACTCTGCCCCAGCGGGAGCTGGAGGGAAGGCATTAGCGTTGTACGCAGCCCACTTAGCCTTCCTGCATCCTGTGCTCCAAGTAGTTTATGCCCAATAACTTTTAATTCATTCCCTTTATTAATAATCAGACCTGAGCCATCCCACTAGTTGTGATGTGGGTGGCTGGGCTGGGCAGACACCTTTTCAGAACAAGACCTGGGGAAGAAGAAGTGACCTGGGGCAGGTCAGGGTCCGGGACAGGCTCTTGCTCTGTGTTCCCAATGCACCGAGCTGCAGTTCCCTGCCATGAAGACCAGAAACTCTTGGCAGTGTCCCAGCACCCTGATGCAAAATAAAGCAAAATCAGCTCCTCCAGGGTTAAAAATATGGGCTGGGGTGAGCTCAGGCATGCTCCGATCCAACCTGCTCAGCCCAGCCCCACAGCGAGGACCAGGCTTTTCCAGGCACCGTTCAGGCTCTGTGGACCTTCAGGGCAGGCAAGGAGTTAACTCACGGGGTTGGGGTCGTTTCTCCTGAAGAGACCTCGCTTGTTCAGGGGAGACTGAGGGATGCCAGGCGCTGTGGGTGGCTCGCTGCTCAGCACCAGCTGCCCTTGGAGACGGGCACATCCCCACCTCATGTGCTGGGTGGAGGAGATGGGCACGGTTGTGACAACAGCAACAAATCCTCCCAGTCACAACATCGTCGGGAGCGCTCGCAATTACAGACTAAGGCTGCGGCGTGTGCTAAATATAGAGCCCTGGTCCTCGCACACTTAAGGAAACAAATGATCTGATGAGCATCTTTCTGCTGAAATATGAGCCCATTTATTATGCTAAATGGACGTGAAATGCAAATGTGAGGTTACTTCTCAGCAATTTCCAAATAATAATTAAAGCTTTTTGGGACTGCTCGTTAGATGCGTTTGGGGTGTGACTCCCCATCCACTCCCTGGTGTGGATGAGGGGCCCTGGGGTGGATCCCTGGTGCAGGGAGTGGACAGTGAGCGCTGAGCCCTACAAAAGTACCCCAGTTTAGTTCTAGACCCATGATGGGGAGCCCAACCCAGCTGGGACCGGTGAGCCCAGGTGCTCTAGGTGCAGGTGTGCTCCCAGGGCTGATGTGGATGGAATTGGGGCCCCACCACCACCCTGACCAGTGACTCATGGTGCCCCTACACCTTCCTCCTACCACTCATCGCCTCTG